GTAGAAGGAAATTAAGGTAAAAAAAGATATATGATGAAAATTAGAGATACAAAGAGTGGCTAATAAAAAATAATAACAAATAAATTATTAATATGGAGAGAGAAAATTAAAATAAGTATAAGGTAAATATATAATAATAAAATATGAGGAGTAAGCAAAAGAGATGAAACCCAAGGAAAATAATAAATGATAGAGTAAGTCAATCAAAGTATACTAAGATAATAATGGTAAGAAACTATGTTATTTATATTTTGACATAAAATATTTCTAATATATAGAAGGGGCAAGAGAAAAATATTGGGTAAAGAAATATATAAATAATGATATATTAAGATGCAATGAATGAGTAGGAAATAATAATAGAAATTAAATGATAATCAAAGAAATAACAAAAACAAATAATATACTAATAAAGAATGGGAATTACTAATACAAAGGGGTTTGTCTGATTTCATCTCTTTTCCATTAATTTGTATAGAAAAACACAATAATTAACTTCATTTTAACCCTAGTAACACCTATTTAATTTTAATTGAGTTGCTAATAAAATTGAAATCGAATTTTATTTTCTTCCATAACAATTATTTAAAAAAAAAAGTGCAATTAATGTATCCTTAAAGCATAGGTTAAAAAAACTCAACATATAAAGAAAAAAAGATGGAGCTATAAGGAAATTTAATAATGAGAGAAGTAGAGTAAAGATAAGTGAAAAGGAACAGAGAGAATAATGTTCAAATGTTGCTCCACGTATGTTTTAGCCTAAAACATTTCTAGACAATATGTGTGTGTGAGAGAGAGAAAAAGAAAGAAGGGGGAAATTAAGGTAGAAAAGGAAAGCGAAAAAGAACTGAAAGAATAATACTAAAAAATTACATTTTTTATATTTTGACATAAATTTTTTTTAATAAAAACGTGTTAAAATAAAAAAAAAGGGTAAAAAATAAGATATATAATAATAGATTGAGATATATGGAATGTCCAAAAGAGAATGATAGAGAAAGGAAGATAATAAAAGAAAGAAGAACAGAGTAAATGTTTAGCTATTCTAGTTCTCCTGCATATCTCAGTTATTGGCAAGGGACATGAATATCACATGTTAAGAATCACTTGATGTTATTAACAAAGTAATGTGCTGCGGTAGTTTTTGTTTAATTTAAGTTTTATAGAAATGTTCTCCTTGAATCACCCCATGAGGAACAAACTGGCAAGGTATATATATTATATCCAACTGGAAGAAT